TAGGGTTATTGGGGTTACCGCAAATACCAGCCATTTTTGAACCCAAATCCCAGCCAGCTTTTTGGTGACACCATACCCCGAAAAACTCACCAGATAGCCATTATTGATCTTTCTTTAACGCTACGGATTTTCAGAGCGATCCAGTATAAAAAACTGCAATCTTGGCGCGCTCGAAGTTGGTCGATTAATTTTGATGGGGTGCGATCGCAGATCCTAGCGGGAGCTAGGGTGTGAAGGAATTCTTTATGTCTATGTTGTGAGTCAGTTTGTTGTTTCATTGTCTGAAAGAAAATGACCTTTGAAACGTGGGGAAACCCTTTTGATCCGTTTCCATAACGAATCATCACCGAAGGGGCCTAGACTCTCTAACGAATTGGTCTGGGGGAGCTCCGAGGTGTAGAAGCTTATTTCGGAAATCAGATGATAGAGTTTACGCCAAGACTCTATCATCATTAAGCTTCTATACGTCAAAGACTTTAGGCCTTTGGCCTCTCCTTACTCGAGGTTAAAAGGGAGGCCCACTTCATTGTAAACTGAATCTGATCAAGATTCAGTCTTGTACACAATCTGACATTACTATTGAATAGCCCCAAAGACTCTTGGAAAACTTCTAAGTCAAATCAGTAGCAAATCATTACCATTTCACTACCTAATCAACATTCCAGCTGCACTGACAAGCAGCACCTTTACAGTAGCTGCCCGGCCTGCACTAGGCAGTACGACCAAGCTAGACGATCAGGAGATCTACCAGCCCGCCCTGATTCCTGCATACAATTAGTCATCTCATAGGCCCCAGGCATGAAATGGATGACCAAGTCAACATCAGGGAAATCGTAGCAAGCACCAATCCCACTAGCAGCCAATAGCAGTAGGGTTTCACCCCTAAGCGCCTTAGCTGACTAAGCTTATGACTATGGGTAATGGGTAGGGCTTACCTACCCGTCCCACGGACCCGGAGCCAAAATCCCTACTGCGTGGTATTCCTAGACCTGGCACTCACCCGCCCCGCGGGTCTAAGATCAGGAACCTCCACCCGCACCTCAGAGGGTCAGGGTCCAACCTCACCGACCCTGACCCTGACCCTGACCCTCTAAGGGTCCCTTGAGGGTCACCCGCATCGACCCTTATCGACCCTCAAATGCATAATTTCTCCGCACCTTTCCTATTTCGGATGTATAAATTTGCTGATTCAGCTTCTTAAAATACTGTTATTTACAGCTGTTCTGGTATACCTCTAAATTCTTCTTGTCTTTTACTATAAAGGCTTTCGAAATATAAAGAAATTGAATTGTAAGTCAATACTTCGTACATCGTCACCTTAGGTTTCTTAGTATCGACTAGAAATATCTTGTAAAAGGTTAGTTTTAATAGATATTGTGGAATACTCGTAGTGTAGTTGTCAAAATATATTTCTGAAGCAGACTAATAGTGGTGCACTTGTGCGATGAGAAATACATCTTTTTATTTTTAATGCTAAACAAGCATTAAATATAAAGTTATCTTAGGCAATTAACTAAGTAGAGTCTTGTTTTATTTTCTGCTAATTTAGCTTATCTCTAATTACTCTAGATCTTGTACGAAAGAAGGTTGAAAATTAGATTGTTGGACTTCAACGTTTTCTATTAGAAAAAAAAGACAACATAACTTGAGGGTCGATAAGGGTGACGGGTGACCCTCACCGACCCTTAGGGTGACCCTCATCGACCCTCGGGGCGACCCTCTTTACCCGTATATACCCTCTATACTAGCCAATCGGACAAGATAACCTTAGTATGAGTAGGTAAGAAGATGATCTATTAACTTCGCGTCCTCTCGCGACTAGGGTAAACTGATTTCCCCCGTACGATAGCTTTTTTTTATTTACTTTTCGTAAGTCCTCTTCCTTAGCGACTATACAAACTACCTATGAAGTATGTCTTAACTCTCGGATAGATATCCCTCCTCAATAGCCGAGGGGGTTGGACTAGAAGATCTCTTATACCTTGTCCCGGACGACACTGTTTTCTTAAGTTTATTCCTATCCAGTCAACCTTTATTTAATACAACACTTGACAATTCCTCTGTTCCTCGACCGCTAGCACCCTAGGCACCAGAAAACCTTCGGCGGATTAAACCTAACCGGATTAACGAATATCTATCGTACGAAGCGAATATGAGTAAGGAATTCGTGGAGTGGTGGCTTCAAACTGACTATGGGAGGAAAAGGCGAATTAATTGGGATGGAAGGTATTATGCAACCTGCTGGGAAGGCTTCGATTAAGTGGCCAATACGAAAGATGGAAAGCTAGGCGTGATGTGCAAACGATGCCGTACGGTTCTTGAATATCCAGCGTCAGCTTATTCTGGTACCTTATCGATGAACAAACACCTTAAAGGGCTACAATGCCAGCGAGGAACAGGCAAGCTAAGCATCCAAAAACTACTCGTACAAGCTGTATGTACGACTAAGATCATTTCTCTACTTGGAACCAACTAATAGATAATCTACTAGGGTCAGAGGGCGCCTGCCTAAGTATTCACGCAGAGTACTTGGGAACAGAAGCTTCTGAATCTAGTCACAGTATCGTATTTACCTTTCCTATTCCTCGAGCATCAAGAGTTCTATGATCTTATCTTGTACGCACGACTAGCCCCCACGACACCGACTATTCCCTCTAGGAAGGTAATCCGTACGAGGCTTCGTGAATTTGTCACCGAAAACCAAACAACTACTTTCCGAAGCCTACCACCAGACGCAAAGCTATCCCTAGCACTTGACTGCTGGACGTCGCTATTCTAGTAAGTATTTATGGCGATAACAGTATATTTCCTTGATCGGGACTGGGACTACCGCGAAGTCCTTCTTGGGTTTGAGCCGCTTTCCGGTATATATTCAGGGGTTAACCTTAGTGAGATTATCGTACGGACTCTATAACAGCATCGAATCCTCGATCGAGTGCTTGCGATTACGACAGACAATGCGTCTAATAATACTACGCTTATAGCTGTCGTTAACGATACAATACAGGCTCTGAAGCTTAACAATAAGTCTGTAATTATCTAAGTCCCTTGTATTGTATATGTGATTCAACTTAGTCTGAATGATCTGCTTGGGAAGATGAAGGCTTCACTAAAGAACGACACTGCGGAGCTTGAGTGGAAAGAGGATCGCGTACGAGCCCTACGTGCTCGACAGCAGAAGCGAGAGATTGCCGATATACTAAATAAGGTTAGTTCTCTTACTTTCTAATTATACGATGATTATACTTATACCTATATTTTTAAGGTTCGTAGTCTTGCTGTGTACATTAACGCAAGCCCTCAACGCCGCGACGCTTTCTACAATCTTCAACCCGACGAGCCAAAGCTCGTGCCTATCCAGGACGTACGAACGCGATGGAATTTAACGTATCTTATGCTTCGCCGGGCTAAGAGACTCTAAGCGACGTTTGATATATTCTGCTCGCAGTACGATCAGCCTTATTTTGCACTAAACACCGAGGAGTGGCGACAAATCGATTATCTACTGTTTATCCTATAGCCCTTCTTTAAATACACAACCGTCGTTTGTACGACTAAAGATATAAGTATTCACTTAGTCTTTAGTTTCTACAATAAGCTTTTTGATCATCTTGAAAATTCAATCCGTCAACTCCGACGAAAGAAGGTGCCTTAGAAGCAGTTAATGCTTTCCTCGCTCAAGGCTGCGCAAGAGAAGCTATCAAAGTACTACGCTATAACAGATAGGATGGAAGGCGACCTTTACGCAATTGGTACGATCCTAGCGCCAGCAAATAAGCTCTAGTTCTTCTCAACTAAGGACTGGCAGTCCGATGATCCAGAGAAGGACTATAAAAGGATCTATCATAGCAGTCTTAAGTCTCTCTTTACCTCGTACGAGGAGAAACGTCCGGAAGAAAGGCTACGATCGGACGCAATATTGTCAATGACGACAATGACAGACGCTGATCTACTATTTGAAAACTCGCATGCGTCACTGCCTCCGCAATAGAACGAGCTTACGAGGTACCTTGAAAGTCGTACGTACTCTCTTCTCTTCTTACTACATAACACTAACTCTTTCTTTTAGCGACCGTACGAGGCTCCCCTCGGGTCTTTTGGAAAGACCATAAACACGAGTTTCCTGTACTTGCAAGCCTTGCCCGGGATGTTATGTCGATCCCAGCAACTAGGGCAGGAGTGGAGCGTCTCTTTAACTCTGCTCGGGATATCTACCATTATCGACGAGGGTCTTTAAAGCCAAAGACTATCCGGGATATTATGCTTTGGATATGTACGACAAGATTTGACCTCCAAGAGCAGAAACGGCTTATGCTACAGGAGTATCTCTTACACCAAGAGATCGCAGCTATGACAGAGGCTAATGAAACACGGGACGAATCCTTTGATCCGATCAGTGATACCGAGGAAGAGACAGAGGATATAGTATATAAGGCGGAGGGTATACAGCCCCCAAACGCACAGTCCCTTCCACGGTCTCGTACAACAACACTTGACCTTGAAGATAGAGAGGCTATAGATCATGATGAGCATGATGACGACGACGACGACCTAAACCTTCCTTTGCCTAACACCCAGCAGCGTGTATCTAGTAGAAAGCGTAAGCGCTCGAAGCTACTTGAGGGCTATGTACTTGGATCTTAATAATTACTACACTGTTTGATTCTATATATACTATGTTGTTATTCGTACGATAAAGAATATAATTTCTTATGATTTCACCTTTTGATCCTTAATTCTTTACTCTTCTGCTGTATTAAAAGTTACAAATGAATACGTGGAAATCCTCTCTAAATCTACATAATTTATGCATTATAAGTAAGTCACGTTTTCTACCTGTTTGTCTTGTTTGGGGACCCTGAGGTTCACCCGCGGGTGACCCTCTTGAGGGTCGGACCTCTAGGTGAACGACCCTCAGGGTCGATAACTCAGTCGCTTACCCACCCGCGGGGCGGGTCGGGTGGAGGGTCCGGAGGGTCACCCGCGGGTGAGGGCCAGGTCTAGGCCTTGAATAGGCTATCAACCAGGGCCTTACTGCGGCAGAAGATAATTACCCGAGCCCTATCCCGCTGCCCGAAGGGCTTATAGGAGCTCTCGAATTGCTTGATGAACTGCATTAGATAGCCAGGATAGTCAGGCTGACAAAGCCTTTTAGGCAGCGATTGAACCCGGTAGGCTATATGCTTTAAGGTAGTGCCAGCCCTATAGGTCTTACAAAGGCGCTCAGGCAGCTGAAGCATATCTATAAGCTCCTTTTGGAGATGAGATAGTAAGGTGGCAGAGGCAAAGACCATTGGGGCGCTCAGGGCTAGGGCATGCCAGGCACGCCTCATGATTAGCCGATAGCTCTGGCTAAGCGGAATCAGGTGACATTCATCCCATATCACACGGGATAATCGCTTCAGGCTAATCAGGTGCTCAGCCATCTCATAGAACTTCGGATGAACCACATGCTCGATTTGAACCAGGATCATCCTACCCTGGGGAGGAAGCTCTCGATAGCCCATATAGGGTTCCCACACAGTAGGCTGTAGCCCTAAGGCCTTAGCCTTATCGTGGAGATCAAGTTTCAGAGATATCAGCGGGATAACTAATATAGTCACCCGATCAGGGAAGAGACTAGCCCCTAGGAGGAATAGGGTAGTCTTACCAGCAGCAGTCGGCAGAATCAGGAAGAAGTAGGGGATTTGCTTCATCATCAGATAGAAGGCCCCCTGCTGCTCAGCACTTCGAAAGGAAGCATCCTCATCATTCAGAAACTCCTTCAGCACGCAGGTCAGCAACCCTAGCCCTGAATGTAATTGGCTAGGCACAATAGGCGAATAGGCTAGCCGGCGGATGGCTAGCCTATCACCTAGGTCCTGTGACTCGCTATAGCTAGGGCTAGGGCTAGCTACAGGATCTACCCCAGCTAGGCTTATAAACTCATTGAACTGCCCTAGGGAAACCCTATAGGTAGGTGCAGTAGCCCCATCACGGAGAGGGTAGCGAAACTCCACTAGCGGGCGTGCTAGTGGTAGGGCAATAGGCTCAGAGGGCTTATATACGCTTGTATCAACCTCTGCCTTAGGCACTAAGAGAGCACGGTCCCAAAAGAGTGACGCTAGGACTAGCTGATCCGGTGATAGGCCGATATAGCTATGCCATCGCTGACTGAAGCTGATTAGGGCAGTCTGGATATCAGCCCTAACCCCCTAGAAGGTAGCCACGCTCCTGCCGTAGATAGCTAGGCCAGTAGCCCTGCTGTGATTCATCTGATCAGCCCTAGGCCCTCATCATCAAGGCCATCAGCTTCTATCTCACTAAGGGTATCCGCTAGGCCTAAGCCGTGACGAATAAACCCCTGCACGATATGACGCCAGGACTGAATACTGATGCGCTGAGTAAGTAGCTCAGTAGTGAGAGACTTTATAGTACGTGACAGCACTTTGGACGAAAATGGCTGTTCAGTCCGATAATCCCAGAATAGCAGAAAGTAGGCCTCAGGCTGCCGATTATTCAGCGAAATCAGCAGGCTCTCCTCAAAGGGCCTAATATAGGCTAGATAGCCTAATAGTAGGTAGGAGAGTGATTGAGGAAGGGCCCTCACAGCATCCTTTTCATGCCGATCCCGGTTAAAGGTCTTCGAATACGCCAGACGAATCAGGAACACATGATTCACAGGGTCTAGGAAGAGGTTCCTAGGGTTGATTTGGGTGTTATACCATATCACCTGGCTAATCTCTGTACCCCTAGCCGGGGCACCACTAGTTATATGACATAGGGCTAGAAGCTTCTTTAGCCACCTACTACTAGTCTCTAGGTAGGTTTGGGCCCTAGCCCTAGAGATTTCGATAGTAGGTCGGCTATCCTGGCCGAGGATAGGAGTAGACCAGTCAGGGAAGTGTAGGGCCTTCTGTAGCAGATATTCCGGTGACACGCTGTTTAGATAAGCGGATAGGCATGACCATTGATTCGTCATATTGCCTATATCCTCACAGCGAGCAGCCTTCTGAAGATCCAGGGTAGGCAAGACCTATATATATTCAGGTTAGTATATCAGTAGGATAGAGAGATATATATATATCGGGTAAGACTAACCTGTTGAAAATTGGCGAAATCTAGGAAAAGATCATTCGATAGCTCTAGGGCTAGATTGGAGATAGCCTTAGTGAGAAAAACTCTAAGGTCTTGCTGTGAAATAGTGATTTGGGCGTATCGTAGGGTATGGGGTGCTAGGATATAGATCCTTCCAAGGGAGGTTGACGACTTTATGACAGTAAAGGCTAGGCCCCTAAGCACAAGCACATAGCCTAAAGGAGACTCCGATTGGGTAGTGAAGTACTGCCGTATCCAATTTCGGATAAAATCAGCCATAGATTCGTTAGGCTTCGGATCAACAAAGGGCTCAGTATGCAGCTAATAGAGGATAATGAATTGGTAGCACTTGATGATTGCCGAGTAAGCATGGCTAATCTCTTCTAGGCGTTTGCGTAGTTTCGGCTAAAGCAGGCAAGGAAGGCATATAGCGGCATAACACTTTGGTCTATCATCTGATACTGCACAAGGGAAAGGGCTAGCTTCAAGACTAAGCTAACCCCCTGGTCCACATAGGCGTTTTCGAAGGTGGCCTGAGGCAGGTCAGGGGTAGCGTCATCGTCGGAATCAATATCAGAATCCGATAAATCAGGGCCGGGGGCAGGTTGGCGGGCAGGGCCGGGGGCAGGGCCGGGGGCAGGTTGGCAGGCAGGTTGGCAGGCAGGTTGGCAGGCAGGTTGGCAGGCAGGTTGGCAGGCAGGTTGGCAGGCAGGGCCGGGGGCAGGTTGGCGGGCAGGGCCGGGGGCAGGTTGGCGGGCGGCTTCTACCCTATACCCTAGTACATAATCAGATCAGCCCTCATTCGAATTACTCGTCCCCTGATTGGCCGGCCTGCCTGCCTCGTGCGTGCTCCCGTCCCCCTGAGGTGTGTGCCCGTAAGGAATCTCTCTCCTCGTCTTCATGAAGCAAGAAAAGTTGCTCTAGATCAGATTGAGCTAATATCACCTGAGTCCGGGCAAAGCGCTGAAAATCCGTCATGGTTAGGCGTAGCCCCTTATAGCTTAAGGTCTGCTCGTTATCACTCTAATAGATACAACCCAGGCTAGTCGTATTATTCTGGACCTTTTTACCGTACGTACGTAGACGGCTGATCCAGCTAAAGGTTGCCCGAACTCTATACAAGAGGAACCGCTCGCGCATATCGTCTAGCGCATCTGCTGGGTGTGTGACAAGACCATCATCGGCCATCTGGACCGCCTGCTCCACTACTAGCATCTGGGCTATCTTTATAACGGCCGATAGATTGCTGGTATAGTCGCACGGTTCCCGAAACGTCTGACGTTCGACATCTACCCTAAGAACAGCAAGGAAGCCAATAACAGTACTCTCAAACAGGTCTTGCTTGAGCGGGTGGTCGAGCAAAGCAATCGAGAGTGCGAGATAGGCATTATCTAGATGATCCTGGACTGCTGGGGATGGCTCTGCCATTAGATGCGATCCAAGATCCTCCATCTAGTCTAACTTGGCAAATTGAGTGGTCGTCAACTGGTGGCGCAGGATGATCTCTTGGTCTGGCGGACTACTGCGGTAGGCGAAACAGATCAGTCGCTGCCATACCTGCTGGTACCGGGTGTATGTGGATGGTTTTAGATCCACTAGGATCGGCCGTTCCCAAATACGCGGAGGGAGACAAAGCTGTTGATTCGGATTTGGTCAAACTCATTGATTCACCGGTCCTGGATTGTGTGATATGCACGCTTGACCAATCGCTCCACACTCTGCGCGAACGCGGTAAGTAGTGGCTCTCGGGAAGGGTCAGGAAGCATGCCTAGACTTGCTACTTCCGAAAAGCTATGACTTCGAAGGTATTTCGGCCACTGTGTGAGGTCTAACCATGGCGATACTTCAGTAGCATGCTTCTGGCTGGTGATCTGTTGCACTTGTTCTGCCTCATCCGCCAACCGTTCCTCGATATCCCGGTTCACCTGGGCCTGAATGAACTCGGCCTCAGACATTGTACCAGCTAGCCGTTGTTGCCTGATCGGAGACGGTGGGATCACACTGAAAAAGCTGCTGTCTGGACCACATATAAATAATCGCTGACAGCTCACTAGTTCTGCAGTGGCAGCGATATCAGGCTTGGCTTTGAAAGCACGGCCACGCGGTCGTCGGGTCTCCGGATGTATGCGTTCCAGATGCTTGCGCAGTGTCGCTAACGATCGCGACACATAGGAGCAGCACGGGCAGCGTAAGCCAGGGTAGACGGGAAGACCTGGAATAGGCGCAGAGTCCGGTGGGGGGAATTTGCACGGCTCCCGCGTCGGCTCTATCCAGGGCTGTTTCAACATCTCGGCCAGGGCAGCCTGACGAAGTTCTGCGGTTCTAGCTGCTGGATGGTGTCGGTGATGGCTACGGAGATGAGTATTGAATTGGCGGGGCGTGACGGCGTAACAACAGTGGATGCAGATCCATATCTGGTATGTGGCGTTGTATATAAAGAGATCCATCTCGAGATACTGAACTATCTGCGCCCTCGTGCGAACGGAATCAGGAAGGCAACTCAGGGCACCGGTCCGGTGCTATAACAAGAGAAATACAAGAGGCGGAGCGGACGCGACCGCAATCGCAGACACGGTCACGGACGCGTCGTTCTTCACCGCGCCGCCACTATTCCTATACGGGCCGTGAAAAGAAGCAATTATGTATGATATGAGATGAATCGAGGATATACGTTCCTCACGGGCACGCACCTCAGGGGGTCGGGAGCACGCACGAGGCAGGCAGGCCGGCCAATCAGGGGACAAGTAATTCGAATAAGGGCTGATCTGTTCATGTACTAGAGTATAGGCTGCACAACGCTTTGCGAGGGGTCGGCGTATAGAAATATCCATCCATCCATCCATCCATCCATACATCCATCGATTGTAATGTAAAAACATACAGTGGTGTGGTTTTCCTTGTCACACCCTCCTTCGCTCCTCCACTCAAATTTCCCCGGATATCGCTACTGACAACGGCGAATATCCAAGAGCCGCTCGTATCTACACGGTAGTGTAATGCTGTTCAACTACCTCTCGAATACTTTACGCAAGCATGCTCTGATGTAGAGTTTTCGAACTTCCTCTTGCGACTTCCTTGCGTACTGCACGACTGATGGAGCGAGCGATAGCTGTTGTGATATGAGGCTGTAGCTGCTCAGGAATGAAGCCGCAACATCGGAAATAATTCCTGCACTATCTATACGAAGTTCCAAGTTGATTGGAAATCAACTTGGACTTCATGGTGTACATATGGCCTCTCTGTATCCATCTGAAATGAGAAGAATCAAGCTTCCTTTTGCATTACAACAATAGCTAAGATGCCGCCATTTGAAAGCAGCACACACCTCGCCTGACACCAAGTTCCCACCAGACACTCGCCATTTTATGCAGGCACCGTTTTCTCAAGCTCCATTAACTTTCCCATTATGTCAACCGACTGTCTTTCCCAATCGAGGACCTCCTCCGGGATTGCATGGTCACGGGCAGCCTTGCGGGCCGCGATGAAGGCCTGGGAGACTGGCGCCATGTTAGGACCGTGCACCGGCTGGGTCTTGCCCATATACATGTACGAATATTTTGTGAGCTCAGGCCGACCACCGCCACCGACATGGAAATAGACAATACCCTGCGAAAAGCAGCGGTCGCTCACGAGCCAGAGGCCTTCGTTGACAACAGGAAGGATGTAGAGGAGGCGATTCACCTCGAACTTGGCCTCCGTGACGACGTTATGTGTCAGGCCGTGTCGCAGCCTGTCCATCGTGAGCTTGCACTGCACGACGGCCAGCATATCGCGATAGAGTTTCAGGAGGGCGGCGCCGTCGCCGCCATTAGCGCGGACTGGAATGAGGTTTTTCAGCAACACTATGGCATCGCGCGCCTCTTTGATGAGGCTGTCAAGTTTGTCCATGTCCTTGTCCGTGAGTGCGTTTATCTTGACGTAGGGCAAAAAGTCATGGCTGAAGCCCTCCAGAACGGTCTCTGCCGCCGCAACGGCTGTCCGGGTTTCTATCTCGTCCATGTTGTGAATTATCTCGGTCTTCGCGCTTGTAATTATCATTTCGACTAGTACGCTGTATAAGTGAGTGCTGGTCGTTAGCGACTTGCAGCCGGTACGTACCGGCATGGATGATCTGCTTGACCATGTCCTGTTGTCGTGCTGCATCCTCTTTAGCTTTCTCCATGCTCGAATAGATGTCCCAGACAGCGCCGATGACGGTGAATATGCTGCTGACGCCATCGATGACCTCCCTGTATTTATTCACAAGGCTCGTCGTTTCATCCACCAGATCTTTCACGCCATCCCAATCCTTCAGCGCGTCAGCTGTCTGAATAATTTTCTCGCTAAGCCTCTGATCTTCTTCCATCGTTGTCGATGCGAGGTGATAATATTGAAGTTTTGAGGCACAATTCAACAGAAAGTTGATCCTATCTGAAGCGGTGCAGTGGTGCTTGATAAGTCAGAGTTGGGAAAGGAGTCCGGAGATCGAGAAACTGGTGATGTATATACTAGTGTACAAAACGGCACGCGGAATTTGTTCCAGCCAATAGCGCCAGTGGACGTAACCTTGGAACCGCCTAACCTCGTACTTTGCCATCTGACTCTACAGCGCAGTGACGTATCCGGCCGTCACTAGCTTTGCGGCCATCTAGGCCATCAAGCAATAGGCCGCTGCACCAGCTGGAGCCAAATAACCACGGAGCTGTTATGACCCAACTTCCAGCGACGGCCGTCAACGTTAACACCCAGACTAATTTGACGACGGGAGTCATCATTCTGCAGATTGTTTCTAGCCAGAACACTCACACTGCTTAATTCTCCACCGTATTAGACCAACTGTCTGGTACACGATGGTGCGGTTAACGGACCGTGTAGACCTCGCCATAGGAATACCTAGACCTGGCCCTCACCCGCGGGTGACCCTCCGGACCCTCCACCCGACCCGCCCCGCGGGTGGGTAAGCGACTGAGTTATCGACCCTGAGGGTCGTTCACCTAGAGGTCCGACCCTCAAGAGGGTCACCCGCGGGTGAACCTCAGGGTCCCTAAACAAGACAAACAGGTAGAAAACGTGACTTACTTATAATGCATAAATTATGTAGATTTAGAGAGGATTTCCACGTATTCATTTGTAACTTTCAATACAGCAGAAGAGTAAAGAATTAAGGATCAAAAGGTGAAATCATAAGAAATTATATTCTTTATCGTACGAATAACAACATAGTATATATAGAATCAAACAGTGTAGTAATTATTAAGATCCAAGTACATAGCCCTCAAGTAGCTTCGAGCGCTTACGCTTTCTACTAGATACACGCTGCTGGGTGTCAGGCAAAGGAAGGTTTAGGTCGTCGTCGTCGTCATCATGCTCATCATGATCCATAGCCTCTCTATCTTCAAGGTCAAGTGTTGTCGTACGAGACCGTGGAAGGGACTGTGCGTTTGGGGGCTGTATACCCTCCGCCTTATATACTATATCCTCTGTCTCTTCCTCGGTATCACTGATCGGATCAAAGGATTCGTCCCGTGTTTCATTAGCCTCTGTCATAGCTGCGATCTCTTGGTGTAAGAGATACTCCTGTAGCATAAGCCGTTTCTGCTCTTAGAGGTCAAATCTTGTCGTACACATCCAAAGCATAATATCCCGGATAGTCTTTGGCTTTAAAGACCCTCGTCGATAATAGCAGATATCCCGAGCAGAGTTAAAGAGACGCTCCACTCCTGCCCCAGTTGCTAGGATCGATATAATATCCCGGGCAAGGCTTGCAAGTACAGGAAACTCGTGTTTATAGTCTTTCCAAAAGACCCGAGGGGAGCCTCGTACGGTCGCTAAAAGAAAGAGTTAGTGTTATGTAGTAAGAAGAGAAGAGAGTACGTACGACTTTCAAGGTACCTCGTAAGCTCGTTCTGTTGCAGAGGCAGTGACGTATACGAGTTTTCAAATAGTAGATCAGCGTCTGTCATTGTCGTTATTGACAATATTGCGTCCGATCGTAGCCTTTCTTCCGGACGTTTCTCCTTGTACGAGGTAAAGAGAGACTTAAGACTGCTATGATAGATCCTTTTATAGTCCTTCTCTGGATCATCGGACTGCTAGTCCTTAGTTGAGAAGAACTGGAGCTTGTTTGCTGGCGCTAGGATCGTACCAATTGCGTAGAGGTCGCCTTCTATCCTATCTGTCATAGCGTAGTACTTTGATAGCTTCTCTTGCGCAGCCTTGAGCGAGGAAAGCATTAACTGCTTCCAAGGCACCTTCTTTCGTCGGAGTTGACGGATTGAATTTTTAAGATGATCAAAAAGCTTATTGTAGAAACTAAAGACTAAGTGAATACTTATATCTTTAGTCGTACAAACGACGGTTGTGTATTTGAAGAAGGGCTATAGGATAAACAGTAGATAATCGATTTGTCGCTACTCCTCGGTGTTTAGTGCAAAATGAGGCTGATCGTACTACGAGCAGAATATATCAAACGTCGCTTGGAGTCTCTTAGCCCGGCGAAGCATAAGATACGTTAAATTCCATCGCGTTCGTACGTCCTGGATAGGCACGAGCTTTAGCTCGTCGGGTTGAAGATTGTAGAAAGCGTCGCGGCGTTGAGGGCTTGCGTTAATGTACACAGCAAGACTACGAACCTTAAAAATATAGGTATAAGTATAATCATCGTATAATTAGAAAGTAAGAGAACTAACCTTATTTAGTGTGTCGGCAATCTCTCGCTTCTGCTGTCGAGCACGTAGGGCTCGTACGCGATCCTCTTTCTACTCGAGCTCCGCAGTGTCGTTCTTTGGTGAAGCCTTTATCTTCCCAAGCAGATCATTCAGACTAAGTTGAATTATATGTGCAATACAAGGGACTTGGATGATTACAGACTTATTGTTGAGCTTCAGAGCCTGTATTGTATCGTTAACGATAGCTATAAGCGTAGTATTATTAGACGTATTGTCTGTCGTAATCGTAAGCACTCGATCGAGGATTCGATGCTGTTGTAGAGTCCGTACGATAATCTCACTAAGGTTGACCCCTGAATATATACCGGAAAGCGGCTTAAACCCAAGAAGGACTTCGCGGTAGTCCTAGTCCCGATCAAGGAAATATGCTGTTATCGCTATAAATGCTTGCTAGAATAGCGACGTCTAGCAGTCAAGTGCTAGGGATAGCTTTGCGTCTAGTGGTAGGCTTCGGAAAGTAGTTGTTTGGTTTTCGGTGACAAATTCACGAAGCCTCGTACGGATTACCTTCCTAGAGGGAATAGTCGGTGTCGTGGGGGCTAGTCGTGCGTATAAGATAAGATTATAGAACTCTTGATGCT